GGGGGGGGGGGGGGGGGGGGGGGGGGGGGGGGGGGGGGGGGGGGGGGGGGGGGGGGGGGGGGGGGGGGGGGGGGGGGGGGGGGGGGGGGGGGGGGGGGGGGGGGGGGGGGGGGGGGGGGGGGTGTTGTTATTGAACTGTTCCAACTAGATAGATAAGGAAGGTTAAGTTACTTGCACTATAAATTCTCCATCTTGCAGCTTCTGAACTCCTCCCACCCTAATAAAATCAGATACATTATCCTACAGAAGGAAATAAACAATTAAAGTTTACATTAAATTATGATCACAATAGTTCAGTAAGGCGGTAGGATTTACGAAGCAATTCATGTTCAAGTTTATATCAAGATTAGGATTTACGAAGCAATTCATGTTCAAGTTTATATCAAGATTAGGATTTACGAAGCAATTCATGTTCAAGTTTATATCAAGATTAAAGGTAATATACCTCATTATCCGCAAGACCATAAAGAGCAAATGCTGCATTATGTTGCAAAGAACCATTTTTCGAATCGAGAAGCTTCAGTAATGGCATTAGACCACCGTTATGAGCAATACCTGCTTGATTATGAGTTTCCTGAAAATAAAAAATTCTTCTCAGTTTCAGCTAAGAAATTCACAAGACCTTGTCATTCATTCCTAAGAACCCGGGGGAAAAATGAATCAACCAAGTGGCGAAGAATAATGCTTTAAGAAAGCAGTATGAAGATTTATGAAATTTAATGTCGGGTAAAAGATAGGTTGTCTATACCAACAGTAATAAAAAATTTAAGTTATAAACTTGGAAATAGTCCACCAGGTATGATTTTGAACGAAAGAAATGGAATGTAGTACCTGTGCCAATCTACCCAATGCAAAAGCTGACATTTCTCGTAGCTGTACATCAGGTGATTGAAGCATCTCAATTAAGGGTCGAACAGCACCCCTCTGTACAATGTGAATCTGAAAATGTTCAATGTGTTCAGTAAGAAAGTTATAAAAACAAGTATACATAACAGAAATTGACTGGTGAGGATATCTTTTGTAATAAAAAGAAAATATTCAAGGAAATAATATACCATAAATATATCACTCTTATTCAAACTTGTTGCCCTGAAATAATAAATCGTCAATTTTTATTTACCTTACAATCTGAATCAGTTGCCGCAAATTGTCCAAGTAATAAAGCTGCCTCCCTTTGGCTCTCAGAGCAGCAAGAACTAAAACAATAGAGAAATGATTAACATGATTCAGACTAATGGAGATCAACTTTTTCTTCACGGCATAACTAGTTATGATTGACAGAGCTACAACGGAATATAGATATAATGAGAAGATAGGCACTAGACATTTACTGAATCATATACAAAATATGTGACAAGATTCCTGAAGTTACACTTAACGAAGCAGTAAAAAATAAAAGATGTGACAAGAATCCTGAAGTTTACAATACCTGAGTAATCCAATAACAGGTTGCAAAGCTCCAGCATGGAGAACTTCTCTCTTTATATTTGGGGATGAGTGCACCAGATTTCCAATAACACCAACCTAAAATCCACAAAATCCATATTTTACAGAATGCAAACTGAATATATCAATTTACTAATAGGCATAAAATATCCATGTTTGTGACATGGAAAACACCCTACCGCTTCGTAATGAATAGCAGCATCCTCTGACCGAAGCATCAAAATGAGCGTAGGGAGAGCATTGCACTCAACGATCTGCCAGGTAGTAAAGATAATATATGAGATGCATATTACACCTACGGTTGAACATCAAATTCACAGACCAATTACCTGATTTTTGTTCTCATCATTCTTAAAGGCCAGTGTTCGTAATGCCCCAGCAGCAGCTCTTTGTACCTTTGTGTCCGTAAATTCAAGCAATTCAACAAGAGGAGGAATTCCACCTTCCATCCTGAATGTTTAAATCCTCATCAAGAATGGGTTTCAATGACAATTGTAAAACTTAGAAGTTAGACAACTGACTAAGCATACCTAACCCGTGTTTTAATGCAACTATTCTCATGGGCAAGATTTGTAATAGCATCTGCAGCTCTACGAATAACACTATTTACAGCTCGAGAAGAACCTTCCTTGTGTCTCTTCAATAGCTCAACAAGGTGTGACAAAGCACCAATGTCAACTACCAGTTGCTGGTGCTCTGGCTGTTTAGAGAGGATAAAAAGAAGAAACGGATCAGAAATCATTAGAAGAAATGCATAGAGCATTGGGACTGAGATGAGGTGATAACTTATACATGCATGCTAAAATACGTTTTTCTTAAATTTAGATGCAAATGTCAAACAAAAGCCTGAGATGGGATTACGCATCAGCAACAACTGTAGACAAGCAATCCCATTGAAAGATTGCATTTATTCTGGCAACACCTTAGACTAAATGAACGAGAATAGGATTGTTTATGCCAAAATTTCAGGTCCAAAAAGTTGTTCAACGCTACTAAGTTAAGGACAGAAAATCTAGGCCAGTATCTTTTCTTTGACTGAAAGAACGCGTACAAAGAAGTCATACACACTGTCGAGATGATAATAGGAAAACATGTATCCAAATAGAGCAGAATGAATTTGACCTTTACAGCCAGTAGTCCAAGCGCAAAAGCACTTCCTTTCTCAACCTCGTGTTCAAATGGCTTAAGACTGCGATCACCTTCAACAAGAGGCGGTGCTTGTAAATGCTTAACTAAAGCCGGCACTGCTCCACCTTCCACAATCACGTTCACTACCTCTTCTGGCAACAACCCCAACAAAACACAAGAATTCCAATCAATTAACAAAAACACACAAAAAAAAAAAAAGAAGAAGAAAATCCAAAGAACCATCCAGAACATGATCAACCACTAGAAACTCCAACTACCGAAAGAGACGAATAGGCATAAGAACACGACAAGATCGGAAGGGCGTTCCGGTAAATTAAAATAAATATGTATACGAGTGTACCGTTTTTAGCAAGCTCCGCAAGAACATGAGTAGCTCGCTTAGCAGCAGCTCGATCGGATTCCTTCCATGAAAAAGTGGAATTGAGAATTTCAACTTGAGCACTGACCTCGCTGAGTAACGCTCGCTTGGCATCCCCAGTAGGAACAGAGATCCCCCGTTCTTCCTCAAATTCCTCCTCCAGTTTCCGCTTGTGGCCTTTCCTCTCTGGAAGATTCTGATCTACGCGCTTCGGAAGCTCCATAAACAAACAACCAGAGGAGCTTGGAATAACGAGACGTGGAAGAGAGCGATCCCGATAACCAAATCTGGGGACTTGATCAAAAGGCGAGTGAAAGGAGAAGAGAGAGAGAGAGAGAGGAGGTTAGAGGGTAATTTAGTAAATTCACACTGTAAATATTTTCAGATTTCCCCCTTCTTTTATCTTTGCCTCCCATAATTTCTTCACAGTTTTCCGTTCTGTCGCGCATTTAATCAAAACCGGCCGAAACTTCCCCCGCTCTGGGCCGAAATACTAACGTACGCTCCCGCCCAAAAATTACTATAAAGGTAAACCGCTAAAAGAAAGTAACTAACGTGCGCTCTGTCTAAGCTGGCCCACTAAATTTTAGTGGGCCCAAATGAATCCACTTTAGTCAACAGCGGAGGCCCATCTTGTTGCGACATGCTAATGGGCCTTGTATTTAAATAATTATTTTATTGTACAATCTCAGAAAACGATTAAACGGGCTGGGCCTTGGAGGCCCATGAAGAATCGGCCCACATTGTGTGACAGCGACTCGCAGTCAACGCCGGAAAAACAGTAGAGAAAAAATGGAGCAGCGTAATGGCATGTGAGCTGTCGCTTAGTCTTTAATGGAACGTCGTTTTAATCGACATGTCGGAGGTCCAATCTTACCGACTGGTAGTGCCGCTTCAGTCCCACAGCTGCTCCACATCACCAACCACCGCCCCGCTTCCCTTCCTATTAAACAAATGCCCTAACTTGTGGACGAAAAAACCATATACTAAATAAATAAAAAATACCTTTTTAGGTTAACTTTAAATTAAGTCACGCATACTAAATTATTATTATTTAAATAAATTTGAGACCAACAATATAAATAATAATTTTAAATTTTATTGAATTAGGTTAAGTATTACATGTCCCACTTTAAATCATTTTCTTATCTTTGACTTTTTTTTATTCCCTTTTTTTTCTTTTTTTTTTTTTGACGGATTGGTCGAGTGTATAAATTATTGGGTCTTTATTTATTTTAATTTTAATTTTTAAATGTCAATTTGTGACAAATTATGTCTTTTATTTTCAACCATACAGTACAATAAAAATAGAAAATGTCATCAAATGAGTTCCAAAAGTCTTACCTACCTTTTTCATGTACCAAATTGTAGGCAAGTTTTGTTGATGTATAAATTAATTTATTTAATTTTTTCGCGAGAAAATATCTATGCAATTTTATTACGTATCGAGCATATTGTTTTCTTGATGAAAATTTAATAATTGGTTATCGAAGCTGATGTGAGAATTCAACCACATATCTACATCGATTATGAGCCAAGACATTTGATTGCGTTGTCGAGGAATTCACGAGACAGAATACTCATGTAAGAGTGGTGTTGTGTTTCAACACGTTCTAATATTTAAATTAATACATAAATTAAAGTAAAAATTGATATTAAGTTGAGTTTGTTAGGAATCACGACTCTCCCCTTAATCGAAGCTCGATTCCTTTCTTTGAAGCCCTCGAACAAAACACACCCTTTGTTCGAAATTTGAGGATCCTATTGATATGACTAAGTTTTGGGCATTACTCTGATACCATGTTAAGAATCACGACTCTCCGATATGATATTGTCCACCTTGAACATAAGCTCCATGGTTTTGCTTTGGGCTTCCCAAAAAGTCTCATACCAATGGAGATAGTATTCCTCACTTATAAACTCATGATCTTCCACTAAATTAACCAATGTGGGACTCACCCCCAATAATCTTCAACAGAGTTAAGGTAGCTCGTGTAACCCTCTCGATGAAACAAGTCATTTATATTTTTACCTTCATTAACGTGATCGCACCCAACCCGATAAAAAGATTATTATTTTATTATATAATTTTTTTTTGGTGACGTGTGGAAATTAGGGGTTGAATATATAATTTAAAGATGGATAATTAATGAATGGGCCAACAACTATAGCTGTTGCTTCACCATTTTAAAATAATTTGAATGAGCTGATTGAAACCCCGCTAGGTTCGCTGCAATTTCCTCCTTCGCCTGTTCATGATTTATCCTGCTCACTCTACTTCGATTCCGCACCGACATCCCAAAGTCAACTCAAAGTCAGCACATTTTACGGTCCAGATCGCGCTCATACCCACCACCTCTGGTCCCATTCCCATGTTATCGCCACTCCCCTCCAAACTTCAACACTCCGCTATATATATATAATTAATAAATATATAAATTTATTCGACCCAATTCCCTCCCGTTTTGCATGTGGCGTTTGCTTGAGAGGTGAGTAGTAATTATTATACGTTTTTAAATATCATTTTCAATTTTCCACTTTTAAAATTAATTTTATAATTACTTTCATAATTTTAAATGTACCACATTTGTTTAATTATTCTATTTTGTTATACATAGAAATTTTATCTATTTTCTTAAAGTTTTAACGAACAATTATTAGATCAAATTTTATTAGGACGTGACAAATGATTGATATATAATTTGATCGACAAATTTGGAGTTTCTTGCAAATATAAACAAAATACATAAAAAAAGTGCAAGCTTGAAGATCATGATACAACATTAATATTACACAATTTTGTCATATAATTAATGCGTTCAATATATATTTTCATATTCATGAAATAAATTAAATTATACTCAAATTGATATATACTCAATAGGGTTGGTCGGATATTTCATCCGATCGCCTGAAAAACACTCTTATCGACTTGAAAATAAGGTGAGAAATTGGTGGTGTTTTTATCGGGAGGATTCAGCACGAGGAGGGTTCGTCGGGGTTGATGGTGTCTTTGGTCTGGATCAGTGAGTTCTTGCAATGGGCAATGGCGCCTTGGATTGCACTGTGGAGTTCTTCCATAGACGACATGTCGGCGGAGTATGACGATCCGTAGCCACTGACAGAGCTCAAGCTCTGTACGCCTCCTCGCCGGAGAACGCCGGAGTGACTCGGCGATGACCGAGTTGACGACGGACAACTCGGTAGGAAGCTGCTTCTCCCACGTGGATACCTGGGTCCAAATCAAATTTGTTCTTCTTAAATTTTAAAATTTTGAAAAGTTATTATGTTTTGATTAAAATTTCTGTTTGACTTTGATTTATAGTTACAATTTTACCTCAAGTTCCCGGAAAATGAGAGTGAAAATCTGCCGCTCTCCTCCGTCTTGCCGGGATTTAACGAGCTATCTTTCGCCGATTCCGCCGTATGGGCCGCCGCCGTTGCGGAGTGGCAAGATTTGGACCCAATTTTGAGTTGGACTTTTCTGAAGCACTTCTTGATCACTTCCTTAGCGGTGGATCCAATCCCTTTGACACGTGGCGGCCTGGATTCCCCACCATGAGTACTACAACTACCAGTGTTGTTCTTCGGCTCCTTCCTGAAAACGGACGAGAATCTCGCAAACGAAAACTGCTTGCACTTTTTGTCGTGACGCTGTCGGGTTCTGAGCTTAAGATCTGCGTCGTCGGAGGTGGGGCGGTTGGGGTCGTTTTGGGAGGAGGAGCGGGAGTGATCGGTGGAGGAGCTGCCGGTGGAGTCGCGGGAGGTGGTGGTGGTGGAGTCGGCGGAGGAGGAAGTGCTGGAGGAGGGGAGGAGAGTTGGAACGAGGGAGTTCCGGCGGGAGTGGAGAGGCAGAAGGTGACCGTTGCAGAAGAGTTCGTCGGCGGGGCAGAGGGCGGTGGAGGATTTCCTGGGGGAGATGGAGACGGTGAATTCGAAATCGGAGGAGGAGGAGGAAGAGAAGGAATTTTTGGGTGACGGCGAGATTCCGGTGGCGGTGGATTTGATTATTGGATCTCTGGGTTTCTCGATCATCTTCATCGGGAGAGAAAAAATGGGTGGAATTTGGATGGAACGTTCATTTATTACAAAAATTTATAATGGTGTTCGGAGCTCGACAAGTGTACATGTTTATGTCCCATCGGAGAGAAGCCAGTTTTAACTCTCTTAAACTTCTCGATCCGTGTGAGCTTAGACAAAACGCCACTCGCCTTTGACTTTTGAGGCCGTCGCACTCTTACTGTTAGCTTTGACCCGTTACTTATAGCACTCGAGAGTCATATTATCGGCTTGACACCTTTAGTCTTATGTATGGTAGTTGACACGCATAGATTCTATGCTATTGTAAAAAAATGTTTTGTTTCTTTCTCCAATCCATGTAAGACTTCACAATCTGTTAGGTGTTTATGTTCGTAATTTTGACATAAACCAATAATTGCTATGTTATCATTCGTGTTATTTATCTAGATTGGGTATATGAATTGTGTGACCGGACACTTACTTGCCCTAATTATTCTAGATCTAGAACGAGAGAATAATATTACTTTCTTCATTTTATATATGGACGAATGTCCACAATGGAAAAATTAGCCGTGGTGATGACTGTTGTGCGCCGAGAGCAGAACAAATGTATTTACAACACCAAATAACGGAGATATTTACGTGGTTCGGAGAGAAGTTCCCCTATGTCAACGGATAGCAACCAATCACTAATAGTCAAAGTGTTACAAGTGAATACCTTATTCCGATATTTTACTCTACAATGTGACACACAAAACTCTCTCAAACTTTGATATCAAATTCCGATATCAACAACCTTCTAGACACAGCCTACTTTGATATCAAATTCCGATATCAACAACCTTCTAGACACAGCCTAATATAAGGATAATTCACGTAAAATATTAATAAAAAAACCGTTCATATTAAATGAGGATTTATAACTGAAATAAATAAGATATTAATTAAAATGGTTATAAATTAAACCACCAAATTAATGATTAAAATGGTTATATTTTCAATGAATTTAATTACTAAATTAAATAAAAAACTTATCACAATTTACCCAACACAATTACAACCACATTGACTATATCACGACAAAATTTGTTTTTGGAGGATTTAAGGAAAATAAGGAAAGAACAAAAAAATTCACCTAGTCCCTAAACAACATTTCTGGGTCAGTCCACTCAAATCCCATATTAATTTATGTTGCTATTTTCAGTAAATAATCTAAATTATAATAAATTTAAAAGGTTGTAGATTAAAAATGGGATATTTTTAAAAGTGGGTGGAATAAATGAAAAGTTATTCTAATTAATTAAAAATACGACGACGTTTGATTATATAGTAATATTATAAACCAATCAATAAAATAAAAATTAATCCCACGTATATTTTAAAAAATATTATATCTCTAATGAAAAAGAAGTCCAATAAATTCACTGCAGATGAAGAAGCTATGTACAAGTTCGTGTACATTGTGGACGTCTCTAATCACGGTTGATTTTAGAAGGTTCTAAGATCAACCAATACTTGGGGTTTGTAATATTATATATAAATTAAATTTATATTTTAAGTGATTAATTTTTGTGTAGTAAATTTAAAAAATATTAAATAGTTTAAGGACATTAAATTAATTAAAAGTTGAATAATTTATTAAATATATATTTTATAAGACACAAAATAAAATTTATAAATTAAACACTTTTTAAATGGAAAGACTAATAAACACGAATAAAAAGTATGAGCGGGCATTTACAGGAAGTTACAGAAGAATCATAGGATTAAATCATTGGAAGAGAAAAACTTGGGACATTTTGGGAAGGCCATGGCCGCAGGATCTTGATCAGGCGGTGGACTGGAAGCCAAAATGATAACTTGGATGTTACAGAAAAATCAACCCAACAAAATCAAAATCAAAATCAAAATCGAATTCAAACTCCAACAACAATTTCAACCAATTGAATGTGAATACGTTGAACCTTCACGTCTTCTACTAGCTGCATTGCGACCGCTTTGTTGTTTTCTTCTTCACACGGATCACAACTCTGTTTGTGGATAATCGAGCGATTAAATTATCTTTTACAAAAGAATCGGAAAGCTATATCCAAATCGCTGTTGCCGTCATGGTTTCGTCACCTACCTAAAGATGCGTGCCTCAACAATTCTCTATCCGGTATGCATAAATTATTTTACATTTTCTTCTTATTGAGGAATTGAACACTAGGATTCGATTTCCTTTTTTGCCTTTTTCTCCGCCTACAGTAATCGGTTGGATTGGCTTGTGATGGATTCAAATCTTGGAGTGCTAATGGATTCTTCCGCTGCGCGACGTCGGCTTCAGGCGATTCAGGATCATCTTGTTCCCGACGGCGATTTCTCTTCTTTTCAGCTTCGGCTGAACGTTACTGCTGGCGAGTTTTTCAACGGTATGTGTGTTTCTTCCTCTATTTGGCTCTCGCTTACTTGTTCGTTTTCTGTGTTGATGTGGGAAAAGCTCACTGGCGTATTTTGTTCGGAGTAGATTAGTAATTTTGTTTCTATGTAAAGCTATGGATCTGTAACGTTGTGCGACTGATGATGATATGACTATTGGCTTGATTTTCGTTTTTTACTTCTCGGCCAATTAGATGAAACGTGGGCCATATGGACTCTAGTTTTTTTGCCCAAACACATTGGTATTGACGAAGGGCGATTAAATGCAGGCTGTTTGAACACTTGTTGACTTTGTCTATGGGGGTTTTCATCCCTTATTGAGATAGTTTCTTATTATTATGATTCTGGATTTTCTTGGATTTTCATTGTCTGTGTGGTTGGGTCTGGTTGTGGGGCGTCGTTGATCGCGCACGATTACTCTCAATTCGTTTTCTCCCTTTACGGTCTACTCCAAAATCAACCCGTTTGATACGGACTGATATGCAATTGAATGGGTGCTAGTAATTAATTTTGGACTGATATGCAATTAAATCATTTCGTTTTCTCCCTTACGGAGTCTGCACTGTGTGAATGTATTCTAAGTTTAGTACTAGAGCTGCAGGAATATTCAGCTCTAGTTTGTAATAATTTGGCTAGATGTTGGGGTTTCTGGTAGAAGTGGACAGCATTTTGAATCCGAATCTAAACTAAAGGTGTGATATGGTGGCGAGCCACAGTTCTTAGGTGTGTGTAAGTCTAGAAAACTTTAGTGGATCATCTTTCTCGTCTATTATCATTGAATATGGAGAAATGAGAAATGTGATACATTATGCTATTTGACATTTTTCTCCCAAGCTTTGCTGACATTGTCAAAGTTATCGACTATGAACAGGGGATGGCTACAGTGTTGTGCTTCCAGAGAAATTGCAGACTGGAAAGTGGAATGTATATAGGTAAGATATTAATAGGTGGTTTGAACTTGATTTGCCCTTTCCTCATGGCTATGTTTCATAAAGATTATTTGTTTCCTCATGGTAGATCTGCCCGCTCTCCTTTAAAGCTTGTGGATAGATTTCCTGATCATCCTGAAATTGGTACATTGCATGATAATTTTGTGTGAGTATCTTCACCTCCTCTATCTTCTTTCTGATCATAAGGATCTGGTATGTTTACTGCTAATTTCGATTACCTATAAACAGCTTTTGATCTTTGATTTGACTTTATCCACTTTAGGCGCTCAGTTGATGTATATAGGGACTATAAGTACCTAGGTACCCGAATCCGATGTGATGGAACAGTTGGAGAGTGAGTTTTATGCGGCTGTTAAATTTCAAATTTTTAGTAGTGCTAGTTTCCATAAATTTTGACTTATCTTTCACCCTTTAAGGTACAAATGGATGACATATGGAGAAGCAGGTACTGCTCGGACAGCATTGGGTTCTGGCCTTGTAAATCATGGTATATCGAAGGTGAATGCCTAGAATAGAATAGTGTGTAACTTGTCCCTTATTTTTATGGGGATTGGTATATAGTGGTGAAGTCTGATGAATGTGTATTGACCCTGTAATGTCCTTAGTGTTACCTAACTATTCTTGGTATCTTTGACACAGGGATCTTGCATTGGGTTATATTTCATCAATAGACCTGAGTGGCTTGTAGTTGATCACGCCTGCTCAGCATATTCTTACATATCAGTTCCTTTATATGACACTCTTGGTTTGTCATTTCTCTTCCAGATATTGTTTCTTTCTGAAAATCTCCCCATTTGGTCTTGTGTTTAAACCTTTTTTTTTACAGGTCCTGATGCGGTCCAGTTCATTGTAAATCATGCTCATGTACAAGTTATTTTTTGTGTTCCTCAGACATTGAATAGTGTGAGTGAAACATTAGATTTTAGTCTGTCTGCTGCGTTGTTAGAAATTGACTTCAATATCCAAAAGAAATAGCGTTGGTGGAAGGACCAGTTTCTCGTAGTATTAGAAATTGGTTTCAATCATATCCTTGATTTTTAATTGAGGAGTTGTCTTCAGAAAAAAAAAAACATTATTATTTCTTTCAAATTGCAGTTATTGAGCTTCTTGTCAGAAATTCCATCTGTACGCCTGATCGTGGTATGAACACCGTGTGTTTGTAATTGATCTCAATTTGATTCTGCTCTCCAGCTGCTTGATACAATTATTAATTAGTTTAGCTTCCAAATTTTATAGGTTGTAGGTGGGGTAGATGATCAAATACCATCGCTTCCATCATCAACTGGAGTTCAGATTCTAACGTACGCAAGTTTGCTTAGTCAGGTAAGCCCTTAGTCTCCCATGATATAAGGAGAGGAGAAGTAAAGGAACTGAAAAATCCTCTCACTATGTCATAAGAAAAAGTAACATGCTTAGCTGTTGGCATGCTTCCTATGGGGATGCAGCTTCTTTGTTAAGCTATCTATGTTTCATTCTGCAGAAGAAATTCACTTAGATTTCTGATATTGTATGGTACGGCCTTTAACGTGATGGTCCAGTTTTTGATTGTTTTTGGAGACACTACTATACGTTTGTATCGGAAGTTGCATGCACTGTTACGTGATGGTCCACTTTACGACTTACTGTTACCCTGTTTTTTTTTAGAATAACCTTGTAATAATCTGCATTCTTTTCTTCCAGGGTAGCAACAACATCCAGCCTTTTTGCCCGCCAAAACCTGATGATATAGCAACTATTTGCTATACGAGCGGTACAACTGGGACCCCAAAGGTGTAACTTCTAAGAATTCTTTTGTTTCTGATCACGAAGCTGTTGATGTTGCTTAACAATGACTTGATCTTTGAAACCTTGCAAGGTTATGTTTTCTTATTTTTACGTCAATATCTTGCCAGGGTGTTATACTGTCTCATGGAAATTTGATAGCGAGTGTTGCTGGATGTTCTCTTGCCTTGAAATTTTACCCCTCAGACGTGTGAGCATCAGCTGTCAATTTTACATTACAGTACTGCGACATTATCATTTAATTTGATCGATATATTCGGTTTCTACTGATTTACATTCTAATTATCAGCTACATATCATACCTGCCTTTGGCACATATATATGAACGGGCTAACCAGGTCTCATCAGTTTACTTCGGTGTTGCTGTTGGTTTTTACCAGGGGGTACGAAGCTATATAAATACTGTCTTCAATGTTCAACTCAGTTTACTAGGAAGTTGTGAGCAATTTCATTCAGTACTTTAGGCAACCTGATATGGTCTTGTATACTTGTGTTCAGGATAATATGAAGTTAATGGATGATATGATTGCATTAAGACCGACAATCTTCTGCAGTGTCCCTAGGCTGTATAACAGGATATATGCTGGGTAAAGATTCATGCATCAACAATTTTTTATCAATCAGAAAATACTATGCTTCTCTTATTATTGAGTTGGTTTCGTGGTGAACAGAATTATTAATGCTGTAAAGACCTCTGGTGTGCTAAAGGAGAGACTGTTTAATGCGGCTTACAATTCCAAGAAGCAAGCTATAATGAATGGTATGGTTTTAACCGGGAAAATGATTCGCTTTTGCATCATGTTTCGTACTTCTAAATTTCCACTCTTCTCTTTTAAAGTTAGTGGCTAAGCTTATCTAAAGTCCTCGCCCTTCTCTATTTTCAGAAATTTGACTTATTGATCCATACCTGCATCCATTTACCGTGTTCTTCCTTGCTTTCATTTTCCTCTTTTATGTATTAGTATTTTCAAATATTTGCAATTTGATTATTGTCTGTATTTTGGGGCATCCTACTATTAAAGGAAAAAGTCCTTCTCCCATATGGGACAAATTGGTATTCAATAAGATAAAGGCAAAGATTGGAGGACGAGTACGTGTCTTGGCATCAGGTGCCTCGCCATTATCTCCTGATATACTGGAATTTTTAAAAATGTGAGTTTTTAATATTTTGGTTCACAATTTTATAGGCTTTTGTTATTTTTCTTCTTCTTTTATGTATTATTATTATTATTATTTATTTCAGTTTCCTTTTAGTTTCTGAAGAGTTGGATGTAATTGTTCCACAGCTGCTTTGGTGGTATAGTATTTGAAGGGTATGGAATGACAGAAACGTCTTGTGTCATAAGTGCCATGGACCCAGACGACACCCTTTGTGGTCATGTTGGGGCTCCCAACCCTGCTTGTGGTAAGCTGCTAACATGAGCTTCTCAGTAATTTAGAGTTTAAGACATGCTTGAGGAGTTCTGGTGATAAATATATGAAAATTTTATTAAGATTGCTTCTTAACCTGCTCTGCTATTTCACTCGAATTCTGTCGTACAATAAACTCAATTTTGTGGAAGTCTGGGAAATTGACTTGAAGTTGTAGGTCTCAAAAGGAAAAACTCTTCAATATGGCTGCTACCCTTTTAGCCATTGAATGTAGTGGATTATGCTACCATAGTGGGTTTTAATTTCTGTATTAAATCTGTAAATCTTATTGTTTCAGTCACCTCAAATATTTTCTCCTACAAAACTAATAAAATAACTGTGACATCAATTAGATGCAGAATGCTTAATACGATTTTGCACCCTGAGTGGGTGATTTGATCCCTACCATCCTTTCTAAGGCCTTTTTCGTACCCACTCGGTTGTTTTTAATTCATAATTCCCAATTCCCAATCTTGGTTAAGATTTGCCTTCATTTCTGTTTTAGAAATAAAGCTCGTGGATGTTCCAGAGATGAATTACACATCCGATGATCAGCCTTATTCTCGCGGTGAGATCTGTATCAGGGGTCCCCTTGTTTTCAAAGGCTATTTCAAAGATGAAGTGCAGACGTAAAAATATTCTTTGCTCACCTCTTTGAATGGATTTAATTGATCGAGTACTTTTTAGTTTAAATGAATATTTGAATTGGACAGGAGAGAAACTGTTGATGAAGATGGATGGCTCCATACTGGAGATATTGGACTTTGGTTGCCTGGTGGTCGTTTAAAAATTATTGACAGGTGACCTCTACCTCGTTGCTTCTCTTTGTTGTCTTTTGACTTAAAATATGAACAAACTTTTTGGCTAAAAGATTGCCATAATAAATCTCCTGAGAACGGTCTTAAGCTTAAGTAAATCTCTATACATCTTTGTAACCGAAGGAATCCCTTCTTTTGTTATTAAAAGTAAATCTCCGTAATAAATCTACTTCTCCATAGGAAGAAGAACATCTTTAAGTTGGCACAGGGGGAGTATATTGCACCAGAGAAAATTGAGAATGTGTATGCGAAGTGCAAGTTTGTTGCCCAATGCTTTGTTTACGGTGAGAAATGGGATTCTAAAATCTCTTCACCCTTTTGTACCTTCACATGCTATATCACTGGTTCTTATGCATGCTACCATGACGTAGAGCCACTTGGTTACTGATTCTCTTTGCTTCTTCCTGAAGGTGATAGCTTCAATTCATCTTTGGTGGCTGTAGTCTCAGTTGATTTGGAGACGTTGAAATCATGGGCTTCTTCCGAAGGCATTAAGGTATGTTGGTTTGTGTCTAGTCTTGGGAATATTATAGATTGGGCTTCATTCTAAACTTGAGTTGCACATGAGCACTTGATTTCTCTTTGTAGTCAATTGAGAAATTTATAACCTCTAACGAAACTGGGAAGTGATAAACAAACCCATCATGAACTGTCACCTCAAACTTCTTCCTCAATGGCTTGACAAGAAGGGAGCTTGATTTGTCCCTCGTCATCAACCACCTTTCTTCCGCTCTCCTCTTTGAAATTTCCAAGAACTCTCAAAAAGTTGGACGGTTTCAGAAGTTATTGCCTTTGAGCACTTAGTTTCTTGCAGGATTTTACATTTGATGTACTAATTTGCATATTTGAGTTGGGTATTTGCATATAATCTTCCCAACTTATGCATGGATCAAGTCAATAGTAAGAGCTTCATTTTTCCTGATCTTTCTAACCAGTGTTCGTCAAACAATTTAACGTGCAGTACAATGATTTAGCCGAACTCTGCAATGACCCAAGAGCAAGGGCCGCAGTCTTGGCGGACATGGATGCCGTTGGAAGAGAGGCACAGGCAAGGAAACCTACAATTATCTTGTAAATCATTGATTCAATCATGCCATTTTGCTCTTTCTCGTGATTATAAAACACAATCTACCTCTTTAATTTCAGTTGAGAGGCTTCGAATTTGCGAAAGCTGTCACTTTGGTCCATGAGCCTTTCACGTTGGAGAATGGTCTTCTCACTCCTACATTCAAGGCAAGTGGTGAATGTAGATATTATCTTGAGAGTAGTTAAATGATTAAATTATCATCTTGAGAGTAGTTAAATGATTAAATTATCTGAATTTCTTTTTCCTCCGCAGATTAAGAGACCCCAAGCGAAGGAATACTTTGCCAACATAATATCCAATATGTACGCCGAGCTTGCTTCATCAGATCCATCCTCCTAGAAGATGTAGCAAACCGAAAAAACTGTTAGTCACTCTCCTCCCTATCTTCTCCTAGGTGTATAGCAAAGTTAAATCTCTTAAGATCTCGAAAATGAAAAATCCGAGCCCCTTGGAATTGATCCCACCATGGAAACCACCACCCAAGTAGATTCTGTTCATTGCATGGTGCTCTGATTGCTGTAACATAGCATCAGTGTTAACCCATTGATGACTTCTCCAAGAACATTACCCATTGATGACTTCTCCAAGAACATTACCATTTTCCAAGTCTCCGTTTGTTCCACCCAAGAGAGAGGACGATGGAAATCATTACCGTGTTACGTATTCGAATAAGTTATGCTATTGATTCTATTACTTTAAATCTTCAGTTCTTGAGTAAAATAAGCAAGCATGATTGTGCTTTTACTCGTCTGCCAATACTCATCTCCTTAAGCCTTCCGACTTTTATCAATTTTATGTATAGCATGCTTGTGGTTGTTACCACAGAAACTATGAAGAAGAAAATTGGTTGTGTTTCTTATGAAAAAAAAAAAAAAAATGTTACCTTCAAATCCGTTCCAAAAAGAATAAGAAAAAAGAAAGAAAAGTGTGAGATCTCACGTCGGAGGAACAGAACATTCCTTGTAAGGGTGTGAAAACCTTTCTCTAGTAGACGTGTTTTAATACTGTGTGGGCCAAAACAGACAATATCTATTGGTGGTGGGCTTGAGCGGTGTGCCAGTTAGGACGCTCGAGAGAAAAAAGTGTCAATAGAGGTTAAAATGAAAATCTTAAGGAATAATATTAAATATGTTGGCATGACGTGGAAAATGAAAATCTTTATCCAAATGCACCATTTTAATCTCAATCCATCCCCACTTTTTACAGGGAGTTCCTTGATCCGCCCTAGATTTGGAATAACTTAAAAGAGAAAAAAGAAATCTTTTTTTTTGAACAAAGTCAAATTAAAAAAAAGTGCTTAAATGATTTAAATAAATGTGAAATATTCTGGATCGATCAAAGGGTCATTTGTTATCGTTTTCGAGTAAAGCATTCAACATGTGAGAAGAGAGGCAGCTCATAACGTTATCATGATATGTTGGCATCCAATGTACAAGAATGGCTTAGCAGGTAAGATAGTTTTACTTTCTCCGATTTTCAATACTCATCGTTGACAAATTCGTCATTTTATCTACTACTTTTAAATAGAATGTTTTTATCCTAACATAGACGGATGAAGAGGTTTCTCTTTTTTTTATTTATTTTATTTATTTTTATTTTTTAATTTTTATAGATATGGTTGAATCTCTTATCTCATTTTTACGAGCTAAAATGAAAAATCATGCATATCCAATTTCAAAATAGTTTGAATTTATGTTAAATCGTTTACGCGTCGAGGGCTATAACACATAAGTCTATGATGATGATGAATAAAGCTAGTAGAATAATCTAACCAAAGATATCTTAGAACCTCTAGACCCCGAGAACAGGAAAATTCAACAAAATTGAACCTCGTGTATGAATTTGATGAGAAAAATGAGTTCAGAAGGGTTAGGCCTCAATAATGAATATTATGAGCCAGATGAGCTCAAAAGAGTTGAACCTCTAGAACTAATGGCTAGATAGGGCCAAGAAAGGAGAGCTTTATGGCTTATATTTTTTGCCCTACTTTTAAGTTGACGAATAAAGTAAACAACTTAGAAAAACCCTATACCAAACCCTATACCTTAGGAATCAACTCGAACTAATTAAGTACTACAAGCAAACTACTTTATGAGTATTTTTATACTCGTCAATGCTACTTTAATATTTCTTCCTTTGCGAGCACGACATGCAAGACGTTCCAGAAGATAGGTTTGAGAGCGAGAAAAAAAAAAAAAAAAAAACCTTTTTAATGGTAAAAGAATATTTTTTTTCCCTCTTTTGATGAAAAGAAAAAAAACGAACCTATATGGTCAAGATTGGACATTGGAACGTTGCATTCCGCGTTCAAGTATGGATTTGGATAAAGCTTTTCCATGTCATCTCTCCCAAGCATTCATTCACTTAATTATCACTAAATGTCGCCTCGTTTTCCAATCAAAGAATTTATCCCATCAGACCCAACTGATAAACATCAACAAAATTGACTTAAAAATTGGATCTTTATAATCTCTGCAACACTTTTGCCCATTATAAATATTCAAATTCCACACATTTCAACGATAACCTCAATCTCCATCCGCCATTGATTTCATACAACCATGCCTGCAGCAGCACTCGCAGTGGCTCAGCCCGCCGTCGAGTTCGAAGCCAAGATCACTCCGGTGGTTATCGTTTCATGTTTAATGGCCGCCACCGGCGGCCTTATGTTCGGTTACGACATTGGGGTTTCGGGTTAGTAATGAATTTCTTCACTGAAACTAATTTTAATGCCAAAGGGAACGTAGATTGGTTAAGCTTGTTTTGTTTGTTTAACAATGTCGGAACAGGGGGAGTGACGTCGATGCCTTCGTTCTTGAAGGAGTTCTTTCCGACAGTGTACGACAGGACCCAAGTACACAAAGGGGGCGACAGCAACTACTGTAAATACGACAATCAAGGCTTACAGCTCTTCACCTCTTCTCTCTATCTCGCTGCGTTAACAGCCACGTTTTTCGCTTCTTACACGACCAGAGTTCTCGGTCGGAAAAAGACCATGCTCATCGCCGGGATTTTCTTCATTGTCGGCACGGTTTTAAATGCCTCGGCCGTTAGCCTTCTCATGCTTATTATTGGAAGAATTGCTCTGGGCTGTGGAGTTGGATTTGCCAACCAGGTTTGTTTAACAACTCCGGCAAGCCTCCATTTGTTGTTACAGATTTGAAACAGAGTTTGTTGTTTTTGATGTTGGAAAAACAGGCCGTGCCGTTGTTTCTGTCGGAGATAGCGCCGACGAGGATTCGTGGAGCTTTGAATATACTGTTCCAATTTGATGTCACTGTCGGCATTCTATTAGCAAACCTCATCAATTATGGAACATCCAAGTAAGAACAAAACAGAGATTCAAACAAACCCTCTGCTCCAAAGATTTCAAATTTAATAAAAACTCTGTTTTTGGTACAGGATTGAAGGGGGATGGGGATGGCGGCTATCATTGGCACTGGCCGGCGTCCCGGCGGTGTTGCTGACTTCTGGAGCAATCTTGGTGGATGATACTCCAAATAGTTTGATCGAACGTGGGTATTTGGAAAAAGGGAAATCAGTGCTGAAAAAAATAAGAGGGACGGACAACGTTGAAGCAGAGTACTTGGAAATCGTGGAGGCAAGCCGCATTTCTCAGGAAGTGAAGCATCCCTTCAGGAACCTGTTCATGCGCCAGAATCGCCCGCCGTTGGTGATTGCCATAATGATGCAGATTTTCCAGCAACTCACCGGAATCAACGCCATAATGTTCTATGCACCAGTTCTGTTCAACACGTTGGGGTTCGGCAACGATGCGTCTCTGTATTCCTCTGTTATAACAGGGGCCGTCAATGTCCTGTCTACGTTGGTGTCCATTTATTCAGTGGACAAAGTGGGGCGAAGAATTTTGTTATTAGAAGCTGGGTTTCAAATGTTGGTGTCTCAAACGATTGTCGGAGTGGTGTTGGGGCTTAAACTCCAAGACAACGCCAACCACCTCTCGCATGGAATGGCGATCGTGGTGGTGCTAATGGTGTGCAGTTTCGTGTCGTCTTTCGCGTGGTCTTGGGGGCCGCTTGGATGGTTGATTCCCAGCGAGACTTTTCCATTGGAGACACGATCGGCTGGGCAGAGCATGACGGTTTGTGTGAATATGATATTTACTTTTGTGATCGCGCAGTCTTTTCTGTCGATGTTGTGCCATTTGAAGTATGGGATCTTCTTGTTCTTTTCTGGTTGGGTGTTGGTGATGTCGCTGTTCGTGATGTTCTTGCTGCCGGAGACAAAGGGTGTTCCGATTGAGGAGATGACAGAGAAAGTGTGGAAGCAGCATTGGTTTTGGAAGAGGTTTATCAGCGATGGGGCTGTGGAGATTAAGGATTCAGTATAGGCGTTCATAAACAGAGGATAGTAATTTTCTTTTTGTTGTAGCACTATGTTGTTGTGTTCCTACTCATATTTGTAGGCTCATTTTTAATTTGTGTTAAGTGTCAAAAAAAAAATTATTTGAAAAAGAAATTATCGTACCTCTTCGCTCATTTTTTGTCTAGTTGAAGAGAGGATGAAGTATTCCTTATGAGAGTGTGGAAATCTCTCTATGACAGATATGTTTTAAAATCGTAAGGTTAACGACAATACGTAACAGACTAAAGCGTACAATATCTGTTAGCGCTGGGCTTGAGCTATTACAAATGGTATTAGAGCTTGACATCGAGCGGTGTGCCAGCGAGGATGCTAAGCCTCAAAGAAGCGTGGATTGTGAGATCCCATATCTATGGGTTGTGGGTCCCCACATCGGTTGGAGAAAGGAACAATGTACTCCAAGGGTGTGGAAACCTTTCCGGGCCTCTAAGGGGGAGGATCCCACATCATTTGGATAGAGGAACCAAGTATTCCTGTTAAGGGTGCGGAGGATCCCACATTAAATATTCATTATAAGAGTACGAAGGATCCCACATCGATTGGATCAAGGAACTATGTATTCCTTATAAGAGAGTGAAAGTCTCCCCCTAACAGATGTCTTTTATAATAGTAAGGCTGAGGGCGATAGGTAACGGACCAAAGCGCACAATATCTGTTAGCTGTGGGCTTGAGCTATTACATGACGTAGACCCACAACATGCCCTCCAAAATTAGATACAATTTTATTGTCTAACCATTTGCTACTCGATAAAAAGTTTGATTGAAGTCCAACGGAGTATCCATGACTTTCTACGAACTCTTCCAAAAGTTAGATGTAAAACAATGATCTTAACAAAAACTCAACTGTATACGAACTCGTTCAAAAGTTTCCTTAGGGAGAGGTTTCCATACCCTTATAAGAAATGTTTCGTTTCTCTCTCCAACCGACGTTGGATCTCACACCTACATCAAATCAAAGTTAACACGTATCATTTTAGTAGTATTTTGAGTATATCATCAATATATCATATATCAATTAATATTTATTTCGAGTAAACACATGGATTTATATGTGCAACAGCCTTAAACAATTTAGAAATTAAACCGGGATCAACTTTGTGAGCGCTCCTAAAAGAGTTAGACATGTATAATTTACGTTAAAGATATTTTTAAAAATACATTTTCGTCACGTATGATATATCGATATATTATTTAATAAGTAATACATTTTAACGGGTTAATCTTATTTCGATTCGACCAACTCGACATTATCGAAATTTTGATTCCGATTTCAAAATATTAGTAACCAATGATGAAATAAATATTGTTTGGTGTGCAAAACTAAAATAGTTCAAAATTCAATGATAGTTTCATCCGTCTCTGGAGCAGTTTTCCACTCCATTCTTAGCCAATTTACCCCTCAAATTTAGTTCATGCAGAGCTGGAATTTTCCCATTCAATTCCCAGATTTGGTCTATAAAAATCCACAATCAATCAATCAATTGAAGAACAGCAATCTCCATCCGCCATTGATTTCTTTGAAGCTTCATCAGAGACATAATCAAGAACAGGATGCCTATGGCAGGGTTCCCGGTGGCTACATCCGGCGTCGAGTTCGAGGCCAAGATTACTCCGGTGGTTATCATTTCCTGTTTAATGGCCGCCACCGGCGGCCTTATGTTCGGTTACGACATCGGGGTTTCTGGCAAGTTTTGATCTTTTTAACTCAAACCCTTTTTAATGCCATAGATTAAGCTTCTTTTGTTTGTTTAACAACGTCGGAACAGGGGGAGTGACGTCGATGCCTTCGTTCTTGAAGGAGTTTTTTCCGACAGTGTACGACAAAACCCAAGAACTCCAAGGGGACGACAGCAACTACTGTAAATACGACAATCAAGGCTTACAGCTCTTCACCTCTTCTCTCTATCTCGCCGCCTTAACAGCCACGTTTTTCGCTTCTTACACCACCAGAGTTCTCGGTCGGAAAAAGACCATGCTCATCGCCGGGATTTTCTTCATTTTCGGAACTATGTTAAACGCCTCCGCCGTCAACCTCCCAATGCTCATTTTTGGAAGAATTTCTCTCGGCTGTGGAGTTGGATTTGCCAACCAGGTTTGTTTAACAACTCCGGTAAGTCTCAATTTGTGGTTACAGATTTGAAACAGAGTTTGTTTTTTCTTGGTGTTGGAAAAACAGGCCGTGCCGTTGTTTCTGTCGGAGATTGCGCCGACGAGGATTCGTGGAGCTTTGAATATACTGTTCCAATTTGATGTCACTGTCGGAATCCTATTTGCAAACCTCATCAATTATGGAACATCCAAGTAAGAACAAAACAGAGATTAAAACAAACCCTCTGTTCCAATTATTTCAAATTCAATAAATACTCTGTTTTTGGTACAGGATTGAAGGGGGATGGGGATGGCGGCTATCATTGGCATTGGCGGGCGTTCCGGCGGGGTTGTTGACATCTGGAGCAATCTTGGTGGATGATACTCCAAATAGTTTGATCGAACGTGGGTATTTGGAACAAGGAAAATCGGTGCTGAAAAAGATCAGAGGAACGGACAACGTCGAGGCAGAGTACTACGAAATCGTGGAGGCAAGCCGCATTTCTCATGAAGTGAAGCATCCTTTCAAGAACCTATTCATGCGCCAGAATCTCCCACCGTTGGTGATTGCCGTAATGATGCAAATTTTCCAGCAACTCACCGGAATCAACGCGATTATGTTCTATGCACCAGTTCTGTTCAACACGTTGGGGTTCGGCAACGATGCGTCTCTGTATTCCTCTGTTATAACAGGGGCTGTCAATGTCCTGTCTACGTTGGTGTCCATTTATTCAGTGGACAAATTGGGGCGAAGAATGTTGTTAATAGAAGCTGGATTGCAAATGTTTGTGTCTCAGATGATCATCGGAGTGGTGCTGGGGATGAAACTTAAGGACAACTCCAACCACCTCTCGCATGGAATGGCGATCGTGGTGGTGCTAATGGTGTGCATTTTCGTGTCGTCTTTTGCATGGTCATGGGGGCCGCTTGGATGGTTGATTCCGAGTGAGATATTTCCAATGGAGACACGATCCGCTGGGCAGAGCGTGACGGTTTGTGTAAATATGATGTTTACTTTTGTGATCGCGCAGTCTTTTCTGTCGATGTTGTGCCACATGCAGTATGGGATCTTCTTGTTCTTTTCTGGTTGGGTGTTGGTGATGTCGGCGTTCGTGATGTTCTTGGTGCCGGAGACGAAGGGTGTTCCGATCGAGGAAATGACAGAGAAAGTGTGGAGGCAACATTGGTTTTGGAAGAGATTTATGAACGATGAGGCTGGTGGGAGAAGGATTTCTCTTTGATTTCTTCTTTGTTTTCTTCCATATTGGTGTTATAACATAATTTCTATCAAATAAAAAGTAGAATTTGAGAGGTTAGTGGTATGTACTTATGATATAATAAGAGTAATGATCTTGGGTTCGAAGTTTTTTGGGTTCAATTAGAGTCGATCGAGTTTAGTAATTTTTGGGTTAGGTAAATTTAGTGGTTCGGCTTCATCCTAGAAGCTATAGATTCAGCCTCTAACGACTTCACTATCACTCACAAATAGTATATGGATTTCTGCCTTTACCTAATGACACTGTTGAGTGTACCAATATTTATTAACTGAGAAGATTAATAGCTCATTAACCAATATCCAAATGTAGTTTTGGTTCATTCATGTATCCCTCATTTACTTGAGTATCATAGCTTCGATCGTCAGCGAGTTTGTGTAATAGTGAGGTCTAGCCGACAAACGTTAAGAAGCAAAGATGACTAGTGTGGGTGAGGTGACATGTAGCTGAGGTAAAGTGAGGCTAACAGTGACAAGAACGCGACGATGAGGGTTTTTGAAACAAAAAATGTTTTTTTTTTATGGGTGTTGGATGAAGTTTAAAATTGGTTTTGAAATGGACGACCCTACATTGTCCATCTCGAGTATAAGACTTCATGCCTCATGACTTTGCTTTTAGTTACCAAGAATGCGTATCCTAATGGAGATCTATTTCTTATTTATAAACCTATGATCGGACTTATCTCTCAACAATCCTCAACCGACGTTACTTGATCTAACAAAATAATGACGTGATACTTAACATTAAATCAAATTCAAAACTTAAGAATCAAATTAAAATAAAAACTAATGTACTTTGTCCGAAAAACAATACGAGGATGAAAAAGAAAAAGGAAAAAAACATAATCCAATTCCAAAGTCCAAACACACAAAAATCTATGCGTATCAAAAACACTTGTTCTAATTGGCCCAACATGGATCATCTTATCCACTCCCAAATTCCCATCACCCACCAAAGAAAAAAACCCTTCCCCACTTCAAATCTTCTTAATCTTCATTATCCTCCATTCCCAACCCACCATTTCTCAATTCTCCCTCTGCTCTGCTCTGTTCTGCTCCCATGGCGATGGCCGCTCAAGCAACCCTCTTCACCCCATCTCTCACAACCCCCAAATCCACCGCCACCGCCGTCTCCTGGAAGCAATCCCCAACTCTCTCCTTCCTCAACGCCAAGCCCCTCAACCTCGCCTCCTCTTCCCGACTCGTCAAAGTCTCCGCCGAGGCCGAGGCCGCAGCTGCAGAAGCTCCAGCCGGATTCTCCCCGCCAGAGCTCGACCCAAGCACCCCTTCCCCAATCTTCGCCGGCAGCACCGGGGGGCTGCTCCGGAAGGCCCAGGTCGAGGAATTCTACGTCATCACATGGGAATCCCCCAAGGAGCAAATCTTCGAAATGCCGACAGGCGGCGCCGCCATCATGAGACAAGGCCCAAATCTGCTGAAATTGGCTAGGAAAGAGCAGTGCTTGGCGCTGGGGACGAGGCTGAGATCCAAGTACAAGATTAAGTACCAATTTTACAGGGTTTTTCCCAACGGAGAAGTACAGTATTTGCATCCCAAAGACGGTGTCTATCCAGAGAAGGTGAATCCAGGCAGGGAAGGAGTGGGGCAGAACTTCAGGTCCATTGGGAAGAATGTGAGCCCCATTGAGGTCAAGTTCACCGGAAAACAAGTGTATGATTTGTGAACAAAATTTCCCATTTCTAATGTTCTTATATCATATGAATTATCTTATCAATCCTTGTTATTCTCTCTGTCTTGTGGCTGCTCTGTTTTGTTTAGCAAATTCCGATGTATGTTAGATTGTAAATTTGTCGCATGTTTTTGTTTGTTTTGGTTGATATATGCTTATGATCAATCATTTCTACATTTGTGGTAGATATATGCATGATTTCTGAAACTATACTATATTTTTCTAAGAAAAGATTTGAATTCTCAAAACAAAAACAAAAACAAGTTTTGATACGATTGTACTCTCGAAAAAGTCATCGACGACGATAACTAGGTTAAGTGGAAGAGAGTGTCACGACCTCACCGAGAGAAAGTAGGTTGTGACCACACACATCAAGATAGACAAGAGGAGACCCTCAAGTGGCGTTCATCTAACCACATGGGAGCAAAGCTTGAGAAGTGTCATGATGCAACAAAAGAGGACAGTGCATCATTCAGTACACCAAGCGTGTGCATTGAAGCTAAGCCGAGGCATACACAAGATTCGAGAGACCGATAACTAGGTTTAGTGGAGAAGAGTGTTACAACCTTAATAAGAGAAAATAGGTTGTGACCCCACATGAGGGTCAAGATTGAGAAGTATCATGATGCGATCGAAGAGGACAGTGTATCATTCAACACACCAAAAGTGTGCATTGAAGCTAAGTCGAGGCATACACAAGGTTCGAGAGAACGACGATATGATTGTCGAAAATAAGCTCGTAAAGGATTAGGTAGGGACTTAGACCATAACCTTAAAAGTTGGGATTTCGATATGAATTTAGACATGTAACTCGAGAACTAAATCTCGAATTCCCGTCACTTCGTTACCAAACATGTTTCGTTACAAGACGAATCGTTCTTTTTCTAAATAATATTGAAATAAATATATAAGCTAAAAGCCCCCTTTTTTTCATTACTATTATATTTGTAACTTTAAAGTTCACTAAACAAACAATAAGAAAACAGAAAGAAAAAACAATACACAAAAAAGAAAGCAAAAAGAAGCCCAGAGGAGGAGGATTTTGTTTAATCTCTAGGCTAACCATGATGGTGGGATTTCTATACTCTTATTTAGGGGCCATTTCTTCTTCTTCTTCTTCTTCTTCTTCTCTTTTCACCTATCAAACTTGGTTCAGCTTGCAGGCTGCTGCAGCTCCATATCCATATATGAACCTCGCCGTTCCTTCCGTGTACACGTGCGTCTCGTTGTCGAGCCTACAAAGCTTCTTGTCAAATTCACAAATCAATCACAACATCAACAACCAAAACTATGTCGACCACTTACGACTTCCGAACAGCCTTGCTTAACGTCGAGGCCGATGAGAATGTCTTTCCATCAAAGTACTTGTTCTCCCCTTTGATTCTTTGCTTGATTCTTTGGTCTAAATCATCAGCATTCAGCACAAATGGAGTGTCGGACGCCTAAAACATTCAAAAGTTTAGAGCTTTACTCGAAACCGATCTGAACAGAACATGTTCGAATTATCGTTTTCCCTACTCGAAACCGATCTAAACGCACCCATGTAACCAAACAACCTCGAGATTGAATCGTTTAGCATGAAAAGTTATCATTTTTCTTACCATAACCCAACCCCAAGTATCAGCAAAGGAAGGAATATGAGCTGAATAAGGCACCACATCTACAAATTAGAAGCAAAAAACAAGAACAATCCATTAGTTTCCTTAAAGAAACATAGCCTAAAACCAATACAGATGATACCCTTGTTTAGCTCACATTTAAAAACTTGCTTCAAGGTGTTATAGATGCAAGAAAACACTTCTGTATGGCTGAAAATCCCAGCTGGGCCAGCCTGCATACGTTTCCACAAGCATTTAAGCTTCAAATCTCATATAAAATCTCTTAAGTTCTTCCATTTTCATCTTCCACAAATACCTGAGTGATGAATATGCCATCTTGTTTCAATCTAGGCTTCACAGTGTGCTCATAGAAGGACTTAGTGTAGAGTTTATAACAAGGACCTCCCTCAATTGGGTCAGCAAGATCGCCGACGATCACGTCGTATTGCTCCGTTCGGTTCTCGAGCTCCGCTCTACATTATGGAACTTATTAGCAGCAATCATAACACAAGATGAATCGTTAAAACCAGTACTCGAAACCGAACCTGGCATCGTTTATGATAAGTTCAAGTCTTGGATCACTGAAAGCTTCTTTGTTTACTATCAGATATGACTTGCAGAAATCAACAACTTCCTGTTCAATTGTTAATCCATCATGGGGTTAGAGAGATTTTTAGTATTGAGTAATGGAAACGATGAAGAAACCAAAACGAATTCGAACCTCGTCGATATCGCACATCACAACTTTCTCCACTGTCTTGTGTCGGAGTAGCTCTCTTGCTGTGGAGCCTTCACCTCCTCCCATGATGAAGATTGTCTTTGGACTGAGTTCAAAACATTACAAACAAGAAGATTCAATAACATTTTATATAGTTTGATTCTGTAACCGCTTAGGTCCAGGCCCACCACTAGTAGATATTGGTCTCTTTGGGCTTTCCCTTTCGAACTTCCCCTCAAAGCTTTAAAACGCGTATGCTAGGAAAAGGTTTCCACACCCTTATAAAGGATGTTTCGTTCTCCTTACGAATTATAAAAAATGAAGCATTAAGCTATGAAATTACTTGGGATGATGGAGAAGTGAAGGATGAACAAGGCATTCATGGTAAATGAACTCATCAGTTTCTGCACTTTGAAGCTTCCCGTCGATCACCAACGCCTTCCCGAACGGCTTCGTGTCGAGTAGCGCAATGTCTTGATACTGGGAAGCGCCAGTATGAAGTATGCTACGACATAACAATAACAACAACAACAAGAACAGTTGATTACAAAGTATGTCGATTTTGGCAGACAAACAATTTCCAAACTGAAGTTTTTATTGTGTTTTAAGGTTTCTTGTCTGTCTTTTCCAAGACCAATGGATTATTTTATTGAGCTCGACTTGAAGTGGGAAGGAAAAAAGTGTTCAACTTTTTAAAGATCCAAACATAAGAACCAACAGAGTATAGTTTAATGATTTTGTCTCACGAACCCCACTTGAAATATTCAAAAAACGAAAATTTTTAGAACTTGAAGAACATTAATGAAAATAAACAGAGGATTCAAAAAAACAGGACAGCTACCTATTAAGAGCAAACGACCATCTTAAATTCTCTTCGATCTCCTCCTCGTACCAACAGCTCTTGCGATACCCATTTAGGGTATGACCCTTCTCAATGAGTTCATTACCATTGTTAACCAAATTTGCAGAGGAAACATCCGCCATTGTTGATGCAGAGTGAAGAAACAGAGAGGAAAGAAAAATACAGAGGAGAAGAGAAAGGTTGATGGAGAAGAAGGGAAGGAAGGTGGGGTATTTAAAGAAGAGGATTATGATTTTGATTTGGAAATGAAGAGAGAGAGAGAAAGAGAGAGAAACTAAATCTGATTGGACAAAGGCTTTGGCTATGGAGACTGTTCGAAAAGTAATCTCCAAAAGAAAAGAAAAAAATCCTTTTGGATTTTCGTAAAGTTTCAGAGACCAATGTTCGTGATTTTCTAAGGATGATTTGGTCGCGTGGTTCCATTTTTTCCTGTCTTTCTTCTTCTTCCTCGTCTGTTCTGTCTGTGATATCAAAGAATTTAGGGACAACGAAGAACAGAGTTCACTTAAATTTGGTAAAGATTCAAACTTTGGAACAAAAAACACCCAATTGATGAAATTATGAAGAACCCAGTGGGTAATTTGGATGAAGGAAGCGAATTGAAGTGTCTTTTTGGTGAGTGGAAGAGGATAAAAGATGATGATTGAGAAGGTGACAATTACCGAAAATCCAGGTTATTCATTTCTTCAAGAATGTGTTTCAAAATGGTGATGAGAGAGAGAGGGAGATGGGGGAAGAGAGAGAAGGGCGTGCAATGAGAACCATCATAATATTCTCTCTTTGCTCCAAAAGATATGAATGAGAGCGTGCTATGCCAAACGCACTCATGAACATCACCATACAGACATCCAACCCAACATGTAAAAAAAAGAAAACAATTCAAAACAAACCATAATAAAAACTCCCTTTGTCCCTATTGAGTTCCTCACTTCAATCATCTTCATCTACCACTTGTCGGGATTTTCACGAGATTATTGCGAAAAACGCTTCTTTCTGTCTCGTCAGGACCCCTCAAATGCATAGCTCGAACGGTGTAACAACTCAAGCTCATTACTAGCAAATATTGTCTGCTTTGATCCGTTACGTATCGTCGTTAGCCTTACGGTTTTAAAACGTGTTTACTTATAAGGAAATGTTTCATTCACCTCTACAACTGATGTGGGATCTCAAAATCCACCCTTTTATTCCCTAGTGTCCTCGCTAGCACACCATCCGATGTATAGCTCTAATACCATTTGTAACAGCCCAAGGCTACTACTAGCAAATATTGTCCGTTCTCGCCCGTTACGTATCGTCGTCAGCCTTACGGTTTTAAAACGCATTTACTTATAAGGAAATGTTTTATTCACCTCTCTAACTGATGTGGGATTTCACAATCCGCCCCTTTATGCCCTAGTGTCATTACTAGCACACCACTCGATGTATAGCTCTAATATCATTTGTAACAGCCCAAGACTACCACGGGCAGATATTGTCCTCACAGTTTCAGGACGTGTTTTCTAGGGAGAGGTTTTCACACCCTTATAAGAAATGTTTCGTTCCCCTCTCCAACCGATGTGGGATTCCACAAAATGGGAACGTTGATGCAAGTTACGCATCAGTACAACGTATTAGAATAACTAGTCTCTCCATGTCACTGCAACAGTACATGATATCATCCATTTCAAACATGGTTCCACCCGATGATTTCACTTAAAAATTTTGTTCTAACCATGATTTCTTTTAACGGGTTTCTCAATGTTTAATCGATGTGAAACTATACGAGCATTTCGAGTAGGACGTGCGAATAGTGGATGGATGGAAGGAGGTGGGTGGGTGGCATTGGTGGAGTGATGTGGTAGTGTTATGGCCAACATGTTTATAAGCACAACAAAAAGGAAAAAAAAAAAAAATCATCCCTTTGTGGGGTGATGATTTGATTCACCCACCTCTTGTTTGGGAAAGCTATGATAACCTCAAAGCCCTACAAGACTCCTCAAAAACCAACCTCTTGTCTCTCTATCTATCCACATTCTTCAATTAATATGCATTTTTCATGGTTGGGTGACCTGTAAAGTTCATCACTTGGCCTTTGCTCCAAGTGATTTTGCTCATCATTCAACATCATGCCTTAGAATCTTAATTATAAGCATGCTCCCATTGCAAATTATGGGTGCTGTTCTTCTCCAACAGTCTCAATTTTCTTCATTTATCATTCCTTTTTCATTTTCGTAGTGTATTTAATAGAAATCCCATGTAGTTCTTCGTGATTCTTCAAAATTTTAAATTGGGTATCTAAGATTCGAGCGGTATAAATAAAGTTTAGTAATATAATCTATGTTAGATGATAAAGATCACGTTTTTATAATGATTCACGAACCAAAATGAGATATTTTAAAGTAGAAGGATACAGCGAAAGCATAATAGCATTTTGCTTCCTTATGGCTCAAACTTTGTAACTCTTTTTCTAATGTTTCCAAAATTAGAATGGGTTTAAGCAAAGTGCTTTTAGTATATTAAAACTACTTTCTAAAATTTGAATATGAAGCATAGACAAATGTAAATTGGTTTGATGGCTGTTGTTCTCAAACCTAACATTTAGTACATGTTCACTAGCATATATCGTTTGTTTTGGCTCGTTACATATAAAAAACGCGTACACTAGAGAGAGGTTTTCATACTCTTATAAGGAATACTTCGTTCCCTTCTTCAACCAATGTGGGATCTCACAATTCACTATCTTTGGGAGCCAACGTCTTCGTTGGCACCTCGCTTAATGTCTAGCTCTGATACCACTGTAACAGTCCAAGCCCACCATTAGCAGTCATAATCCACTTTGATCCGTTACATATCGTCGTTAGCCTCACAGTTTTAAAACGTGTACGTTAGGGAGAGATTTTCACATCTTTATAAGGAGTGCTTCGTTTCCCTCTCCAACTGAGATGATCTTGAACTATTATAGGTCCCTCTTACAATTTCATTATTGAAGGGCCTAATAAGTTTGAATTTGTATAAAATGATAAATAATTAATGTTTACTTTACATTCTAAACCTAACCTAGACCAAGCAAATACCACTCTGTTTATAGTAACCATGGCATGGAAAAGTCAAAGGATAAGGGTTAATTAGTACTTAAATTAACAAATTGTTGTATTAAATTTGAACACTTCGATTAACTCTAGTGACTAATAAGTCAAAACAAATTTCTTGTTTCCTTATTTGATTTGCTTACCAATGTACTTCCACTTGTTATGTTCTTCGTTTTTGGGGAACAATCTGACTTTTTTTTTTTTTGGCAAGGATATTTTAGTCATTTGTTAATTGGAATTATGAAACAAAGAACAAATTTTTTAGAGAAAAAAATCCATTTTTACACCTTAATTTCATAAGATTTTGAGGTTAATTCAAACTATTAATTATATAAAATTTGATATTGTTGAAGTTCGACGACCTAAATTTTACTTGATCGACTTATTAGAACGTGGAAGTAAATGTCGCACAATCACGTTGTGGGTCTTGTCAGTTGTGACACTCAACACCCTACGACTCACGACGGTGACAGTGACAATGGGTGGCGTGCAGAAGCTCTATATGAACAATATGGGGCTGCCATGGACTTGTAAGTTGGTGATGATGTAATTATTCACTGAGATGTTGTAAGTTGTAACTTGTCTGTCAAGCCCATTTTAAATTGTAACGCTTCCTTGATCGATGGTATTAGAGGCCACTAGCCGGCCCTTGAAACGGACAATAGAATCTTCATGATGAAACATGGTGTGAGACACTCATTTTCAACCAGTAACATTCATATTTACTTGCTATTGAACATATTCTGTCTCAATTTTAAAACGTATTTGTTAAGGAGAGGTTTACACACCCTTATAAGGAATGTTTCATTCTCCCCTCCAACTGAGGTGGGATCGCATAATCCACTCTTCTTGGGGTCCTTGTGTCCTCACTGACACACCACTCGATGTCTGACTATAATATCATTTGCAATAGCTCAAGTCTACAACTAGCAGATATTGTCTGCTTTGGCCCATTACATATCTCTACTCCCCTTGGGTCCTAGCATCCTCACTGACACACCGCTCGATGTTGGACTCTAATATCATTTGCAACAGCTCAACAACTAGCAGATATTGTCCGCTTTGACCCATTACGTATCACTGTCAGCCTCATAATTTTAAAACACGTCTATTATGGAGAGGTTTTCCACACCCTTATAAGGAATGTTTCGTTTTTCTCTCCAACCAATGTGGGATCTCACAATCCACTCCCCTTGGGGTCCCAGCGTCCTCACTGACACACCGCTCGATGTTTGACTCTAATATCATTTGCAATAGCTCAAGCTTACAATTAGCAGGTATTGTTCGCTTTGGCCCAATACATATGTCGTTAGTCTCACAGTTTTAAAACGCGTTTTTATGGAGAGGTTTTCCACGCCCTTACAAGGAACGTTTCGTTCTCCTCTCCAACCAACGTGGAATCTTAAAATCCACTCCCCTTAAGGGCCGAACGTCCTCGCTAGTACACTGCTCAGTATCTAACTCTGATACTATTTATAATAGCTCAAGCTCGCCACTACCAAGAAATGGGTCGAAGGAATGGGGTGAGAGTGAGGTGACGATGGGGCTTAGGCCAAGGTTAAGAGGATGGACCGAAACAATGGACTTCAGAGAAGACAGCTTCATGAGCCATGGGCTTCACCCTCCAAATCACCCACTTTTGGGGGACAGCGTCCATGTTGATGTGTCCATATTCCTTCAAACAAAAACCAAACACTCCAACACTACAACTACTAAACTCCAAACAAAACCTCTGCAACTCAAACTCTAATGCCTTGTCCTCATCCAAACCCTAATTTTGCGGACCCCATTTATATTTCTACTAAAAAAACCACACAAATTCACTGCCACCATTAGATTCCAAGCAAAAAACGGCACTGGTTTTTGGCGATGTCATATCTTTTGGATCAATAGAACACAAGACAGAACCCCCCCTCTCATCCAAACGACATGTAGTATACGACATAAATCTTACAATATCTCACTCCCCAAAACTACATGTGTTCTCCTTCTCACCATCCCGTCTCTCATTATCTCTGCCCTCTCTTCAATTCCCAATACTAAAATCTCCATCTCCGATCATTTTTGTAACAATTTAAGCACACTGTTAGAAGGCCGGAGAGGGTTTAACCCTATCCAAGCCCACAACTAGTAGAT